ATGCCCTATCTATATGATATAAAATGGATTTTCCATCAGGCCTGTATTCTAGACCATTGGAAGGAAGAAAAGGGAAAGTAGAAGTCCCCACTTCCACTTAATGCACAACCAGGCAGTTATACACATTGCTTCCACTCACCTCCCATTGAAAACTTAATCTTATGGTCCCCCCTTGCCAGTGGCATGCTGGAGCCCACTCCTAAGGGATGTGAGAGCCCATTGTGTACCTTGCCTCCCAACTCCACTTTCAGTGAATCATGTTGGTTAGCTTGAAATCAGTCATGGGAGAATTAACACCACAAGCAAATTTTACAAATCAGAGCTTCCCCCACCACCTCTTTCATGAGAGCTTATTGTTAAACATTGTAATCTGCTGCACCTAGCTGTAATAAAAGCTGAAAAATGAAAGTGTGTGTGTGTGTGTGTATGTTTTCCTTTCTGGACAGCCAGGTATCTAGCTAACAATTCTGTACAAGAGAGCAAGGAGTTGTATTTCTATACAAGAAGCTAAGAATGGGTATTTGCAAATAAGTAGAAGTCTCTTTAAAAGTAACATCATTAGACAACAAAAAAAATATTGGAAAACCTGTTTTTAACTGTAAGAGAACAGATCTATCTATAAACATGTGTATGGGGAGCTTATGGCTGCTATCTTCCAGCTGTGAAAAGCCATGCTAGAGAGAATTAAGCTTATCTCTGTGGACCCAAGGTACAGAACTCTGGGCAGAAGCTATATGAGCCAAATTCTGCTCTATTTTGACTTTTATCACTGTTAAAAGATGCAGCACTGGTTCCTATCTTTGCAAGTGTCCAGGCAGGAACTGAATGATCACTTACAGCAAGCATGTCAAACTCAAAGGCTAATACAGGCCAAATAAACAAGGTTTAAGTTTATATAGGCTGCAAAAAAACAAAACCTTCAATTTTCATAGAAATGTATTTTGATAGAGAAATATTGAATACAAAGGGCTGAAATGAGTAATCATAACATAAAATAATTGAACATTTTAATACAAATTAATATTTTTTCTTGAACATTAACTTACCAGACATTGGATAACTGCACAAATTAATAAGTATAATGCAAAAAAACTATTTTCTTTTTCTCAGAAAGCGAAATATTTCCTGTTGAGCATATCAAACAAGTCAGTCCAAGACTAATGACGTGGCAATCTAAAATATTCGCTGCTAGTGTTAGTGGAGAGTAATGGTGGGCCTGCACACAGGTGCTTAAGAGAAATGAATAGAACATGATTATAGTAATTAGTCTTTAGCGAATGCTGTAGTTCATTATTAATAATTATGTATAATAGGATATTATTAAAAATTAAGTTAAATTTTTTTAATTAAAATGTTTCTTACATAATGTTATATTGACAGTGCTGCAAAAATATTCTTTGTGGGCTACATGCAGCCTGTGTGTTGCAAGTTTGACATGTTTGACTTACAGGGTTTTCACAGAGCAGATTTTATTCTGACTGGATGTTACCCTAGCCTTTTCTGAGGTTCTTTCCATCCTTCAGTCTCAAGGATACTTTTTCTGACCCCTCAGATTCTTGGGGGCTCCAGTAATTTATTTTGCTCCACTTATCATAGTTGTAATTATTAGTATAATAATTCCATTAACGTTAAGCTCCAGAACTAGATTGTATTAGTAAAAGTAGCAACTGTGTTGTCTTACCCATCATTGTGTCTGTTGCATGGTGCAAAGTGTATGGTCTCAGTAGGCACTCATTAAATTGTACTGAATGGAGGATAGATGCTGTGAGTTCTCAAGTATGGAAGTGCCTTATAAACTGCTCATGATAATTATTCCTTAAAAAATAAGATTGAGATATAAAACAGAACAGAAAGCAGATGAAGGAAGTGGCTGTAAATACTACCAGACATCTAAGGGGAACTGAATTTGATTCTAAGCTTCTTGGAAACTAAATATAAAAAAAGAACTCACTGGGTTACTGGATTTTCTCTTTCTAAGGGGACAAAACTTGTGAAGTCATCTCCAGAAACCAAGTTTTCCTGGTGACTTATTAAAATGAGATCCTTGTTTCCTCCCAACTAACACTGAAGCATGATCAAATCTCTCCTCTTTAAAAAAATAAAATAAAATAATGACAAAGATGGAAAAGAAACTTCCCTTTACTGACTCTCAGCAGCTATCCTACCTATCCAAATTTTTTCACATACACTCTGTAGGTCTCTACTTCCTCACCTCTCATTTCAGGTTTAGCTCACTGCAGTCTTGTTTCTGCTCTCACCATTCTACTGGAGCTGCTGTCATGAAATCAACAGTAAATTTGCCCTAGCTATATCTCTGCTTTAATCTTTATTCAAATAGACATTTCCTAATTATTTGAAATTCTTGCCCTTGCTAGATCATATCCCTTGGCTCTGTGACATTGAACTGCGCTGGTTTTCTTCCTATCTTCCTGGATGTTCTTTCTCAGTCTCTTTTAAGCTCTGTTCCTTTATTAAGTATTGGCATTCATCAGGCTTTTTACTTTTTTTCATTTGACCCTTTTCTTTTCTCCCTTTACATACGTTCCCTCAGAAATTTTACTTAATCTAGTGGCTTTAATTACTCTCTGGATTCTAATGACTCCCAATATCAGATCTTTAGACTGGATTATCCACCCAAGATTAAAACCCACATATTAAACTTCCTTGTACAGTCTCACATATGGACCTTAAATTCAGCATGCCCCAAATTGAGCAAATATTTTTCTTCTTAACCTTTTACTCCTTATGTATTTCCCATCTCTATTTTCTTTTGTGTTTTTTAAATTTATTGTCTACAGTTTTACACATGTCTCTTTTTTCCCCACTTGACACCCTTCCCTGTGCGCCCCCCCCCCCCCCCCCCCCCCAGCCATTCCCATTCCAGGCAAGTCACTACCGCCCTAGTGTCTATGCCCATTGGTTATGCTAATACACATGCATACAAATCCTTTGCTTGCACTGTAACCCCCCCCCCTCTGCCATTTCTCTCTGGATCTATTCTTATGCATTACATTATGTTGATCATCATATCTCACATATGAGTGAGATCATGTGATATTTATCTTTCTCTGACTGGCTTATTTAACTTAGCACAATGCTCTCCAGTTCCATCCATGCTGTTGCAAATGGTAAAAGTTCCTTCTTTTTTATAGCAGCATAGTATTCCATGAACTACAGCAGTGGTTCTCAACTTGTGGGTCGTTGCCAACAGGTTGAGAACCACTAGCAGGGTCACCTAAGACCATCAGCAAACACAGATATTTACATTACAATTCATAACAGTAGCAATGAAAATAATTTTATCATTGGGGGTCACCACAACATGAGGAACTGTATTAAAGGGTCGCAGTATTAGAAAGGTTGAGAACCACTTTTGTGGAGGGGAAAAAAATAACAACAAAAACAACCATAGTTAATACATAATGAATGGGCATGACTGTGTTATAATAAGACTTCATTCATAAAAACTGATGGTGAACCAGATTTGACCCATTGGGTTAGTTTGCTGACCTCTGTTCTAGAGAGTTAAAGTAGTATGTTTATTTTCACATTTGTATCCATAATGCTTGATATCAGGCTTCTCAATAAAAGTTTGTTGGTGAATAAATGAATGGTATACAAATTATGATGGACCTGTTTATTGTTTTTCTTCTGTGGTCATATCTTCTTGACCACTACATGCTTCATATTCATTCTATGTAGTCAGTGACCCCACTCCCCCACTAGGATGGTTTTCATCTTCTGTGCCCATCTTAACATTTATGTTAAGCAAATATCCTATGTGAAGTTTTGGTTCCTTTGGTGGAAGTGGTCAAGTTTTAAATCCTTTGTCCAACCATCCTTCACAGCACAGACTTTTGTTTGTTTGTTTTTCTAGGTATGATAGTAAAATTTTGGCTTATTCAGGTAAGTCAAATTATTTATATAATTTATTTTAAACTTTGGTCATTTTTTGTGTGTAGATGTATTTATTCTTTTGTTTCATATACATTTATTTAAACCTATCTTAAAATATTTTTGGAACAGGTAGAATATTAGGGATAAAAATCCTCAATTAAATAAATGCACAAAGCACTTAATAATATACACAGGGCATAGGAGAAGTTTAACATGCAGTGGGGACAAAGATAACTCAGATAAAGTCACGAAGAGGCTTATAAGCACAAAGGAGATAAGAGGTGAATAAATAATTCCAATACAATGTAGAAAGTGCTTTGAGGAAGGAATTAGCAACACTCTCTAGGAATTTCATAGAAGTAACATTTATCTTCCACCAAAAAGATCAAGGAAGGCTTTAAGAGAGAAGTATTGTACCTGGATATGGAAAGGTGGGTATTTGGAATTCTGATATGGCACTAAAGGGCCCTCAAGACAAAGGAACGTATAGGCATACTAAGCAGTTACTAGAAAGCAAGTTTTAATAAAACTACGTCCAGGACTTGCTGATAAAAGTGCAGCCAAATCCCTTCCAGAAGGTGCCAAGTCCATTCTGGTCTGAAATGCATTGATAATGGGGACATTATGCTCAGAGACTGCAAACTGACATTCTGTCGTCATCCCTTTTGTAATAGAAACCCTGATCCTTTAAAATAATTAGCATTAATTTGGAGCATGTGTGCAAAAATAAATCACAAGTGTCCAAAAACAGAAACGTTAAGTTCAATGGTTACATTCTTATTAGCTCCAACTACGTAAACAAAATCAGGAGCAATTAACATTTAAAAATAGAAAAGACAAGGAGAGTTCACAGCTCCCAATGGGAAATTACTATTTACATCAATGCCCACAAAGATGACTTCCTCTCACCCTTCCTGATGTCAGTCATATTATTTCCATGGGTAAACAGTTTTCTTTCCAGAGGATTAGGAGGGAGGATTGTGATTCTATGCATATTGTCCTGGTTGAAATTGGAAGTGGGTATGTCTTCTAGCAAATAAATAAGTAGGTCTACATCTCCTCTACCCTACCTCTATATTGTACCTTACCCATCCTCTGTATAGGCAAGAAGAGAATTTGCCATGGCTCAAGACTGTCAGTGGAAACCCACTTCCATGAAGCAGTGCTGGCCTTTGCCAATGACCCACCTGGAAGAAGGGTGAAAGATCTCATGAACTCACCAAGACACACTTTGAAGTGGCCCTGTTGTGCTCTATAGGACATGGGATATCTCAGTGAAGAATGGAGCCCCACTGCAGGCATCAGGTATCAGAATGGGGAGAGAAACTGGCCATGGGACAGGCACCTGGGGAACTGAGGCAGTGATGTGGACACATTGGGTGTAATACAGAGCACTGGCAGCTGGCTCAACTGGGCTCTGAGTTTTAGCTGTATCACTAACTTGCTATGTGAACTTGGCTAAGCCATTGTTCTTTCTGGGCCTAATTTTCCCCAATCTTAAAATTAGGAGCAGAACTGGCTTCATTCCATACAGTTTTTTGTTTGTTTTTAAGACATAACTCAAGTCTTTTATCTGCCTCTTTCCATCTACTTGACTGGAAAGATATGGTGAATGGTAGGTTTGGGGTGAGGTGTAGGACTCAAATATTTTTCTATTCCTCATTTATAAAATGTGTGAAAATATACCCCACACTTTCTCCCCCCAAAAGATGGTTGCTTTAGGAAAACGGGACTGATAAAGGAGGACACAGAAGATTCAGTTGCAGGGTCATGACAGAACCCACCAATTGTTATCAGTCTAGAAAACAACATCACTTTTAATGTTGATGGAACCTTGGAATAATAATAAAAGGCTAACAGAGAAGGGATTTGTTAAAAGTGGCATGTTAAAGACAACTATGATTCAACCTCTTGGTTCTAAATCCTCTTTCTACCATGTCTTTCTTCTTCTGTCTTCAGTATGTCTGATCTGGAATTGGGGCTTAAGGGGAATTGTGGCTTAAGGATTGATGGACATAAGTCAACTTCAAATAAAAATATCAGTAGAGTTTTGTGGAGGTAGAAGAAAAAATCAAATCTTTGACTATTAGTTTTTGTTTAGACTTCACTTTTTTTTTTTTCATACTTTACCTCCATTATAATTAGTACCAGTTCTCCTGAGCATTTTGCATATACAGTAGTCAGTCCCCCTTTATTCACAATTTTGCTTTCCATAATTTCAGTTACCTGTGGTCAACTTCAATCCAAAAATATTAAGTGGAAAATTTCACAAGTAAACAATTCATAAAGTTTAAATCACATGTTGTTCTGAATAGCATGATAAAATTTCCCTCTGTCCTGCTCAGTCTTATTTGGGGTGTGAATCATTCCCTTGTCCAGTGTTTCCATGATGCAGATACTGCCCATCCGCTAGTCACTTGGTAGTTATCAGATCGACTCTTGTGGTATCCCAGTGCTTGTGTTTAGGTAACCCCTATTTTACTTAATAATGGCCCCAAAGCAATATAGTAATGATGCTGGCAAGTCAGATATGCCAAAGATGTAAAGTGCTTCCTTTCAATGAAAAGGTGAAGTTCTCAAGTTAATAAAGAAAGAAAAAAAATGTGATGTCCAAAATTTATTGTAAGAACAAATCCATCTACTTTAATTTATAAATTAAACTTTACATATATATATATATATATATATATATATATATATATATATATATGGAAAACCATGGTATATATTGGTTCAGTTCTGTCATTGGGGGTTTTGGAATGTAACTCCTACAGATAAGGGGGGAGGCTGTACACAAATGTTCTTTTGTTGTTGTTTTATGCAAAAATTAAGGACTCAAATGTCTTATTCTGTATCTTCACATATGCTAGTCTGTTTATATTCCAACACCTTATTCATACTGTGCTTAGCAATTACCAAAGCTTTTCTAGTTTGCCTGTGTACTGATCCACGTCTTCTGTTAAGTAATAATGTCTTTGAAAACTGGAAATATTTTGTATCTCAGTTTCCAAACCCAGAGATGCTTCTGCTCAATTATGTTAATTGAATAAATTAATGGAAGAAAGAGACACTTTATCTGTCTAGACACCATGTCCTAGAAGCCCCTCAGAGTGATGATAAGCTTAGTAATGGCCTTCATTTAAACTTTTATGATGAATCAGGAAAGGTCATAGAATGGGCAGATCTCCTTACTTACATCTTCATGGCCATAAATTCATAGCACTTATTCATGATCTCCCAGAGGTGGCTAGAGTACCCAGAGATACCTTTCTCAAACAGAGAAAATGGGGGAAAGAGCAAGAAGTGCTCTTTGGGTTGCTGCTCTCAGCTTGAGGGCATCCTAGAGCCATCCCTCCTTTGTCTTAGCCAGAGGCCCGGGTTTGTTCTTTGTGTATCAGTATTGGTCAACCTGACCTTTGGGAGAGAATCCTGGTAAGAGTCAGGCACAAGGGGTGGTACATGAAACAATTTTTTAATAGAATAGGAGATTGTAGGGCCTCTTTGCTCAAAAGGAGGGGGAGATAATACAAAAAGTCATCTGACTTCTGTCCAACAGTGCAGGCAGGAGAGCAAAGGGGAGGCTTTGTGGTGAAGGGGAGATGACATGAGGATGTGGAGGGAGAGGAAGTCCTTGTGGACAGGACAATGAGTAAGAGTCTGAACTCAAGGTGTAAGAATGAGAGACAGAGTTTAAGAAAGACTGAGAAGAAATAAACATAGGAAGCAAGAGAGGAAAGAAGGAAGGAAGGGAGGGAGAGAGGAAAAGAGGAAGAAGGGGAGAGAAGGAGGTAAGAAAGTTGCAATGATACAGAGAGAAAGGCACAGACATCAAGAAAGATAATCAGAACTAGAGAGAAAATACAAGAAACATTTGGAGAGAAAAAAGAGAAGTGGGGCAGCAATGAAGACGTGTATGTACACACACAAGACCTGAAAAACTCAAAGTTCACCTGAACTGCTCAGCTCAGATAACTGTCTTTGTGAACCTGGCACAGGGAAAATCTGTACACAGAGGAAATGTGCTGACTCCTGCCCAGGGTCTGTCGGAGGATAGAAACAGATCAATTAACCTGGGTGGGGCTTTTCTATGCCAGGACTGGCACTGCCAGTTCTCAGTGCCCAGCCAGGCCAGGCCAAGGACTTTCACAAGATCCTTATGGTATTAAAGGGCCATTAGCAGCAGGGAAAAATCAGCCTTTTACCCAGAGAAAAACCCTTTTTCTATGCCAGCATTACCTCCCCTGGCCCAGATATTACTTCTCTGGCAGGCCTTGGCCCAAATCAGTTAGATGGCACCCCTCAGCCTGGGGAAACTGGACCTTGGAAATCTGAACAGGCTTCCAGAACACTCCAGGGGCCAGCGCAGCCTGATATATATAACTGATGGAATGACCCTGAGACATGTTTGTGGGTAGAGCAAGGGCATCTAGAGCAGAATGTTCCCATAGATCTTGGACCACTGAATCCACTTTATAGGAAGAAAGATTTCAGCTTCAGCACCAGGAAGGACTTTGAAATCAAAGCTAGACAAAATCTGGATTCATTCATTCATCATTTAGTATTTACCGATAATTTTTGAGCATCCACAATGTGTGGGGCACTGTGTTAGAGGCTGAGGACACAGAGATAAGCAAACACATTTTGGCCATGGGAGGAGAGTGATGGCAACACTATTTCCTCTAACCAGTGTAACAGAAGGAGCTCAGGGGAGAATGTAAGTGATTCAGCTTTGGGGACAAGCAAAATTTTAGGAAGGGCACATCTGAGCACAACCTTAATGGTTGTGTAGAGTCCTTGAGGCAGAGAAAGCGGAGGGATCCTAAACCAAGAGAGGCACAAAGAGCTGGAAGGTGTAGGAATGCAGGGGTCATCTGGAGGAGGAATGGTGGGACAGGCAGCCTGGGAGAAATGAGAGCCAGGTGAGGACAGGCACTTATAAGGGTACAAAGTCACTAACATTTTAGTCAGAAGGGAACTTAGAGATTATAAAAGCCATCTTTATCATTATTTTATGTTTTTAAATTTTGCATGTGAGTGTATGTGTATGAAGTAGACTTTGTTGGAGGATGCCTGGGGTTGGATACAGAGGAAAGGACATGACAGCAACTCCAGTAATTTTGAACTAAATATGTTAGAGCTTTTCTCTTAAGAGACCTACTAGGATAGTTTCACTGACTGATTTACCAGCTGTGGTGGCCCAAGCCTCCTACCTTCTCAGTGGGTTTTCTGTGTCTTTCCTCCCATCTTCATCCATCCCTCCAGACTGACTGCCCCAGGCACAGTAGATTTGTTGTTAGGTCTCCTCTTGGTGATGGTAAGCAATCCAAGAAGAAAAGGACCTCCTGTTTACCCAAATCCTCATTCTTAGAAGGCAGATGTGAGTTTGTATTTAAAAAGTTCTAAAAGAACAAAAAGGTAAAAATTGCCCTTATGAAGTTTTTTAAAAATTACACAATGAAGATACATTTTATTCATTCAGTCTGTTAGCATTTATCAGTCAACTTAGTTTCCCAAGTTAAATCAAATATATATCTCTCTACATAGATATAAATTGTACACTTACACACATATTTATGGAAAAGAAAGTATGCCTTAGATACTGATTTGTTTTTTATTTTAAAATATATTGTGAAAAAACTTCCAAATTCATACCTCATATGCATTCTAGTCCATAGACCAGATATAACATAAGTTTCTAACTATTTTTCTGTTGATATCCATTTATGATTATTTAATCTGTGTGCTTTTACAAATGATGCTGTCACAGACATCCTTGCACATGCATCGTTCTGTACTCTAGTTATTATTTCTATAAACTAGCTTCCTAGAAGTTAGGTTGTTAAATCAAAGATATACACATTCTAAATCTTCCTGGGAATTACATAACTTCTTTTAAAAAATATTTTTATTGATTTTAGAGAGGAAGGGAGAGGGAGAGGAAGATAGAGATATCAATGATGAGAGAGAATCATTGATTGGCAGCCCCCAGAATGGCCTCTTCTAGGGATTAAGCCTGAAACCTGGCATGTGCCCTTGACCAGAATCGAACCTGGGATCTTTCAGCTCCCAGGCCGATGCTTTACCCACTGAGCAAACCTGGATAGGGATACATTACTTCTTTTATAAAGGTTAATTCACATTGTATCAGGCCATTGACATAGGAGTGACTCTTCCATACTTGTTCTCCCTCTGGAACTGCCCCATCGTTTGCAGAGATGAAGAAAGGGCATAGAGAGAATGCTCAGTTGTCTAGTAACACACACCTCAATGTTGGCAATGCTAGCACCAAGATTCCAAATCTCTTG